AAGATGGCCGAGCATTACGGGCAGCTGTTGTGGCAGGAGGGGGGAAGCTCAGAAGAACTCAAGAGCAATTCCAAGCAAATACGAGCACTACAAACAAAACACTGGCAAAAAGCATGAAGAGACCATGCAGCACCACGCAGCACCAACCGGCGAGTGGTTCCGCGACGGCCCTAATCTCCGGGCGGAGCCATGAACGGCATTTCGCAAACTTTGGCCTGGGTTCATATTTTATTCAGCCGCAGTATCCGCCAGCAAGTGGGCTGCCTCCTCTACCTCTGCTGGGGCTAAGGCTACAGCTGTAACTTCTTCGAATTTGTCTTGGCTCTGGCTCTGGCTCTGGTTCTGCGTTTATTTTAATTTTTTTTGTGCTGCTTAATTTTTTTCCTGCTTTCATTTCGTTTTACTGCCTCTGTCTTAGTCCGCATTTCGCGTTTCGCTTTTCCCTGTGCTGTCGCCTTCCGTGGGCCATAAAACCGAAAGAAACGAGAACAGAGCTGAAAGCGTAGAAATTCAAATCATTGTCTTGCGACTTGTTACCGTTGCTTGCCCACTCTCAGTGTCAGTATCAGTCCCATTCCCATTCTCAGTACCACATTCAATCCCAGTCTCAAGCCCACCGCCCTCGAACCCCATCCTCGGAAGACCTTTGAGAGCCCGAAAGAGAAGGGCGCACATAGTGCCTCCCCGACTTTTCTGTGGTATCCTTAAGAGGAATTGTGCTGCGGTTGGGGGACCGCCCATGTCCTTGGCAACCTGTGATAATCGTCTTGTGGGCAGTTGCCGCCATTCCACTACCAGTGCCCGTTTTTGTTGTCATTTGTTCAACAACTCTGCGGCTGCCGCTGTGGCAGTGTTCTGCGGTCCCTGTCCGGTCCGGTTCAGTCGCAGTCGCGGTCGAGCTCGGTTGCATGTCCTGGCTGAGCACCAGACCAGACCACAGCAGGAGAGCGAGAACGAGGTCGATCCGGGCATCCTGCTCAGCATTTATCATTTGATTACAGTTTGACGGCCAATGTGACTTCGCGACGGGGTCGGAGACAGTGGCACGGGATTGGGAAACAAAGACACAACGGGTGGAAAATTAAATGTTCTTCTCCGCTGTTGATTGTGGAAAGCTTTCTGTTGTTACAGCTGGTTTATTTGTTTTCCGTTGCTGCCGCGGCTCTTGGCGAGCAATAAATGAAATTTACTTTTTAATAAGTGTGTACATTCCGCTTGTCGGCATCTAAATATTTGTTATGAGGGAGTTGAGTTGTCGCTCGTCATGCATATTTCATAGCCCGGCAAATTGAATTACAGCCGTTCGCTTGTCCCACCAAATTGAATGATAGTAAGCGAGGTTGTGCCTTGTGAATGACTCCGCCGCACTTTACCACTCACTCCGCGAATATTTGAATCCAAAGAAGACTAATTTTTGCGGCCGGGCCATTATACTTTAGCAAATACTTACAAGTCAGATTAACATTAAACAATCTTTTGCTAATTAAAGTTACAGTATTTATTTCGATATATCAGTATTAACGCAATTTCGTTTTCTTCCCTCTTAGAGACTAATGACAAGAAAGCGAATCTTAATTTAATAACTTCAATAATTTGTTATTTAATCAGTTACAGTAATTACAAAAAACGCACTTAATGTTTATTTTTATACCCGTATTCAAAAAAGAGTTAAGGGTATTGTTGAGGCCAACAGCGCTGTTAACATAGCAGCGTTAACAGTCGGTTGACAGTGTTGCTAACAGCGGACTGTTAGCTCGCTCTCTCTCCCGTGACCTTTGCTCTCGCGCTGCTCAGTCACGATCCACTCGACTCTCCAGCACTGGCGCCAGCATAATGCTGCCCAAAATACATAGTGGGAGTCTCTCTTCAACTACGAACCGTTTACAAGCGCACATCAACCCCCAGCTGTATCAATTACCCGCAAATATATACAAACATTTAATTGACGCCTCAGACTACTTTTATTTGGGAATACGGTCTTTGGGAACCTCCAACATCCACCCTCCTACAATCAGGTAAATTAGATTTGTGGTAAAAGTGGATGTGTGTAACGCAGAGAAGGAAACTTTTCCGACCCCATAAATTATATATATTCTTGATCAGCATCAAGAGCCGAGTCGATATAGCCATGTCTGTCTGTCTGTCCGTCTGTCTTTCTGTCCGTCTTGTTGAGCGCCTAGATCTCAGAGACTATAAGAGCTAGGGCAACCAAATTTGGTTTCCACACTCAGTGATATATCACTGCTACAAGTGTATTTCAAAATTTCGCCCCGCCCCCTTCCGACCCAAACAAAAGACGAAAATCTGTGGCAGGCACAATTTTAAAGATACGATAAAACTAAAAAGGTAGTATCGTAGAGAATGCCCATATCTACCAGATTGCCGAATCTGAATCAGATCGGTTCATAATTATAGCCAGAATGAAGAAATTAATTTTCTGTTGGTTCTTCCGCCTTCTTAACCCACAGAACCGCTACCTATCTCTTTCTCGCTAGCACACTCTGCCGCGTTCAGTGCGCGAGCAAGCGATGCCACCTGGTAAAACTACAAATGACTACAAATGTTTTCACAATTCGCACAAAAAGTATGCACACGTTTGACGTAAAGTAAGTTTTACTACAATGAGCTAGTTTTTGTAATGCTTAATTTAAGAAAAACAGAATGCTTTCAATATAATTAATATTAAATATATTGCTCCGAATTCAACTTAAAAAAGGTGGCATTACTGTATTAACTTCGAAAGTCCGAATCGCCCTAGGTGGCCACCTCGGTCTGCAGCGGATTGAGATCGGAATCGTTTGTTATGGACGGCTTTTTGAAGGAGCCGACAGGGCTGGAGAAGGAGAGGAGACAGCGGCCTCTGTTGTGGATCCTGGGAGGCTGTAACAGGGTTGCACGGAGGGAGCAAGGCGGCAAGGCTAGAGAAGGAAAAAAAACGTGGTCGTAAAGGTTATGTGGAGAGGGTCAGTTGTTTCCGGGAAGAGAAGAGATAGACCAGAGAAAATCGCCAGTAACGCTAAAAGAAAAAAGATTAAAAAAAATAAACCCGCATGTATTAAAATAGCAAATAGCCACACATAGTAACCCCATCATGAATATATTTAAATCTGAATAATACCCTGCGCCCAACTAGCCCCGTCACATATTCACATACAAATACCCACTCATTCACAACAGCCTCATTCGCACTATATATCTTTATTCCCGGAGCTACTTCTCGATTCACATTAACTACATATATTTTCTTTGAGTTAATAGTCCACAACACATGAATTAAAATGAAATAAAATACAAAAAAAAAAAACAACACAAAGTATTTTAGGATAGTTTTTGCGTTAAAGCCCGTCCTATTAATCAATGTAAGCGGAGTCTATTTTTTTCCCCCGAACTCCACCCTCTTTTACATTTTATGCACATGCAATAATTACTAACAAGAGCTCTTTTTAGTTTAAGTTAACCATTTAAATTTGCATTTAAAATTATATTACAGCCGGTTTGTTTACCTTAAAAATTGGGATGCCACCTCGGGCAAAAAAAAATAGAATCCGTGTGTATCTTTTTTGAATGTTAGTATTTTTATGTTAGTGTTCCGCAAGGTGAAAGTCAGTTAAAGTAAAAATGTTTTAGGAGTTAAGTAGATTTATAAGATGAAAGAAATAATGAATTATATTTGAAGATTTGAAAGGAAAATGAAAATGGAGTAGAGATCCTTAGTTGGGTGGGACGAGAAGGGCGGAAGAGTGAACCAAATGTTTTTAAATGGGAGCGCTCAACAGGTTGAACGCTCATGGAAGGGAGGGACTCGCGATGGTCAAATACAACACCGACTGACCCCGCCGAAGCGAGTGCCAACGAAGATGCGTGTACAAATAAGATCTGCCCGTTACACGCAAAATAGTATTTTTTTTGTTAAATCCGTCCCCTGGCTATCGGGTCGGAAACACCCCTGACGTCCCCGAGAGCTAGCCGGGAACGATAGACCAGGGCGGCAAAAAGGCGGATCATAACACGTTAAGTGAAAATTCAGTCAGCGGATTGAATAGTGATTTACTAAAATGCTTATTTTATTAACTTAACATTGAAGTATTATAATTAGAGTACTGTAAATACTTAGGGAAACATCATTCAAATATTAAGGAGCGCGCATAGGTATCGTCCACCAACCCGATACATGCAGTGGAGATGCAAATATAATATGTTAGAATACATCGTATAAATAATATCGATAAGTGAAGAATCGGAGATCGAGATCGAAGCCGGGACTTTTTCGTTGGAATACGAGCGGCTGAACACTTACCAAGCGAAATAAAAAGATTAAACTACCTACCTGCCCCCTACAACATGTATAATGTAAAAATATTTGGATGAGGGTTAATCACCAATTGAACAACCTTTATAGGAAAGTAAGATTCGAATCGGTTTAGGTGTGTTTTATGGGTGTATTTAATCAAATCGCTGGGTAAATTGTGAGCGATTTTGATTCCGCGGAAAAATCAGTGTGTGTGAGGTGATTTTCCAGTGGAAGTGATTTCTGTGGCATCCCTGTGTATATTAGTATCTCCACTGTTTATATCCACTTAGTGGAAGACACCAACGCACGCTGCATATTATTTAAATGTTAATGTTAATCAAATGTTAAGGCTAGAATGAAGAAAACAAAGGCGAAACTCGCAAGAATTGCACAGAGGCATACATTGTATATATGCATGTACATATGTACAGCGGCTAACGGCGGAACAACAGAGAAACAGGAGCAGCAGAGTCGTAAGCTAGCCGTTATATCAGCAGTACTTTTAGGCGTACCGTTTAAGACTTTGCCAGTCTACCTCGAGTTCATATAACCAATAAACATTCAATTAAACATTATCTTACATTATATTTCATTCAAAACTTAGAATAAGCTTTGCGCTACACACTGAAGTTGAATTTCCGAAAAGATTTTCCGGGGTATAGTCAAAACATTTTTCAAATTTCTACCCATCTAGTTTACATTGTTTCGGATACATTTATTTCGGGCAGTAGTAGCACACGAAATCAAAAATCAATATAGATATTGATATTGGAAAACCATACAAGTTTTGGCTCACATCTCGTTCCCGTGCCTGCAATTGCATAAGTATCTGCCACCCAGCCAAATCGGTTGCCCCTTTCAGCGCTAAGGGCATTAGTTCCATCAAGCGTTCCACAAGTCACGGCAACAAGCAGAGCGGGCACATCAATTACCTCACCTTCGCATCGCTTCTGTTTGCAATTCGAGATGCCAAGCAGAGAACGCCCTTCGCATCTGTTGTTGCTTCTGATCTGCTACTGCTCTGCTCTGCGATATATCCACGGCCTCGAGAATGGACTCGCCCAAACCCCTCCAATGGGCTGGATGCCATACGAGCGATTCCAGTGTACAATTGACTGCGCTCGCTTCCCTAGGGATTGCATCAGGTAAGTGACTCTGATTGGCGGAAGCTGCTCCTATTGCTATTGCTATTCATCGTTATAGTGAGTCGCTCTTTAAGCGCACAGCAGATCTCCTAGTGTCCGAGGGTTATGCCGCCGTGGGATTCCAGTACTTGATAATCGACGACTGCTGGATGGAAACACTTCGCGATTCGATCACTCAGAGGCTGCTGCCCGCCAGGGAACGTTTTCCCAGCGGAATGGCTGATCTTTCCGACTACGTAAGTACTCCAGCATTCCCTATGCAAAAGTGAGCAACAGCATTCATCCACAGATTCATCGACGAGGCCTGAAATTTGGAATATACCACGATGTGGGGGAGAAGACTTGTATGTTCCTGGGTCCTGGGGCTCGGGGACACTTTCAGCTCGATGCCCAGACCTTCGCCGATTGGGGCGTTGACTATGTGAAGCTAGACGGTTGCTATGCCACTGAGTCCGAACGGGACAGAGGGTATCCCGCCTTCGGCAAGGCCATGAACAGCACTGGTCGGACAATGGTCTACTCTTGCAGTTGGCCGTTCTACAAAGAGAAGGTGGGTCTTGGGACATGCTGGGGTACTTGGAGATAATTCTTCCCCCTTCAGCCCGACTACAGGTTGATAGCGCAGCACTGCAATCTCTGGCGATTCGCAGAGGACATCACGGACTCATACACATCAGTCTTCAAGACAATGGAGCACTACCGCAGAAACCAGCAGCTTCTGTCAGCACATGCGGGCCCTGGTCGGTGGAATGACCCGGATATGGTAGGTATTCTTCGACTGGGGTATTTACATACGTGTGCAACGGCTTCCCTCCCCCAGCTGGTCCTAGGCAACTTCCGACTGAGCTACGACGCCAGCCGATTGCAACTGGCCATATGGTCGGTGATCGCAGCCCCTCTCATAATGACCAATGACCTGGAGACTGTGCGTCCGGAAATAAGGGAACTTCTTCAAAACCGGTCAGACACACTCACCATTCGTATATGACACATTGCACTCTGGTTCATACTGTAACACAGATTTCTGATTGCAGAGAGGTCATAGCTATAAATCAGGACTTGCTTGGGATGCCCGGCCGGTGCGTCTTGACATCGAAATATTTCCAGGTATCCTTAGTCAGTCTTTCGATCTGTCGGAAAAGACACTCCACATGATTCCTTTTCAGGTCTGGCTGCGTCGAGTCACACCGGTCAACGACCTTGGCAAACACTCATTTGCAGTGGCTTTTGTCAATCTGGGGGGCTTCGACCACTGCCCCTTGTGCCCTCGCACAATCGAAGTCGGCTTGGAGCGCCTGGGTCTGGACAGCCTCACGGGCTACTATGTTGTGGTAGGACCAAATGGAGAACCAATTGGAGAATCCCTAATATGCATTTTCGGCTTTTGTTTTTTCAGGACCTGTTCAACAGCAGTCGCAGCTTGGGCATGTTCAAGCCCTATGACGCCTTCAGCACTCGAATCAATCCGGAGGGAGTGACGTTCTACAAGTTCACAGTAGTACCCGTCTACTGATGGGACCAGTATTAAACACAAGCAACTACAGGGTATTCACAAATGGTGGGTGGGGTCTATGAACTCGTCCATGCACAGAAGCCACTCAATGTTCACATCTACTCGAGTACTTATGTATGTGTGTACACTGTACATATCCAGAAGGCTACACAGATGAATATTTATCAAAGTAAGCCAGTGGCATGTGGCATGTGGCTGTGGCTGTTTTGGCGCTGGTTATTGTTATTCGAAATAAATATACATAGAGCTCGCTCCACATTATAAATAACCTCGTTATCCCGAGCTTGAATATGATTTTGACAAATTAGGTTTAGTCATTGTGTGTTGCCGTTGCTGTTGCCGTTGCTGTTGCCGTTGCCCACAAGTGGGAGGAGGAGGGCAAGGGCATACAGAGAAGCCATTTGGCTATTTTTAGTAGTGACTCCAGGGACGGATGCGGCCACGGTATCGTATCCGACGATGGCAATACATATATTGTATAATCCATAAACAAAGATGCTGAGCTGCTGACGAAAAGCCATCAGGCCATGTCCTGTCCGTGACTGTGTGTCGTGTACATGCATGAGCAACGCCCTTGCAGGGGACGGGGACTCGTCATCCTCAATACTTGTGACAATTTATTGACCAAATTTCGTCAAGCGATGAACCTTACAGCGAGCATATTCAATTTACCCGCCTGCCACATTCCCCATCGCCAGCCACAAAAGCTTCTCCCGCCCCCCTCCTCCACTGTCCTCTGGTCTCCTCCGGCAGGGCTGGGAAAACATCAAAGGGGAGGGACGGAACTGGATGGGGCGCAACGGGTCTGAATGGATGGACGGATAGAGAGTCGGCAGCACACCTGCCTCCTGCAGCCATGCCTCCTGACAGGGATGACGACGCCGTCGCCATTATCCTCTAATAAATATTGATTTCGGTGTAATAAAAGGACATGACAGAAGCCAACAACATCCTCGGCGGCATTAACGGCCATCGGGAGATTGCTTGGCCGGGCTGGGACCGTGGGAGTGGGGACAAGCAACGAAATATGTGGATTAGGCACGAGCGCTCCTTTACAGCCAGGAGCGGTGAGGACACGCTTCCCCGAATTACAATATAAACCGCCTGAAAATATTTGCAACGAATCCGAAGAATTACTCAAAATTAAATATAACTACCGCATTCAAATTATGTAAATTTGGTGCCGTTTCTCCTCTCCTGGTTGTTATCCCTGTTATTAGTCATTTTCGAAACGTGCCTTCTTGGCCACAGCGTGAGAGCTGTGTTGGGCGGGGAGGGCTTGGAAAGCTGGCCTTGAGCCGGACTCCCGTGTTGCGAGGTTACGATATGTATGTTTGGGCCGCACGAGACTCCCAGCACATGGAGACAAATATGGAAATGTCATGTTTACAAGCTCTGGCAATAAGTGCCATGCCAGTCGACAGAGGACAGATGACTGTAGACCGCATTGGTCCGCTTCTTTAGCTTCGCTTCAGCTTCAGCCTAAGAGAGGGAATTTCCGAAAGAGAAAATTTCCCCAACAAGCGAGTCACTTCAACATGCCGGCAAGCCGGCTGCCTGTCGAGCTTCTCTAGGTCTGTGAACACCTCGAACCCCACTCCAAAAACCATTCAAAATGGGAATACCCAATTACCTGTGACTATGACTGTCGCATTGTCCGCTGCATTTGCAATGTAACTTGCGAGTGGATTTGATTCTCCTGCACAATATACTCGTACTTACTCGTATTAGCATGCTAAAATCGGGCTGAGTGTCGCAGTTAGTCAGACGTCCGAGTTGGCTGGGCAACTCAACTGTTGCTTCTGGCACTCACAATGGGTGAAGCACCAGCACCTGCACCAGTAGGTACGGCAGCTCTTCGTTTCCGAATGTAGGGGATCGCTGGGCGGCCACGACTGCATTGCATGCATTTGGAGAGCGCAATTAACTTTCCACGGAGATGGCCCGGCTCATCATAATTAATTCATGGCTTATATGCGAGACCAATTTCCCGTCCTCGCATCCACACTTGGGGCACTTCGCCGAGACTCCATGGAGGTGAGAGTGAGCTAGCCACGTACCCGCATAACTTTTTCATTAGGGGGCGACGCAGTCCTTTCTTTTCTTCGCCGTCTCGACTCATTTGTGCGATGGGAGTATTCTGTGGTCCTGAGCTAGTCCTAGACAAGTGGGTGAAAACGACTTTGGCGCTGTCGCAATTAATAGACTCTCCATTCCCTTCCGCAGTCTGGATGCCAAGGCAGAGCGCCAGTCCTAACGCGTGTTCCCCATTAAAGCGACCTTAACATTCTTTAAGCGCTAAGCGCGCCTGCCGCGTGGGCTCTTCAGCAATTGGAATATTTAATGAACTGCCTGGCAGGAGTTGGCTCCACTCGGCGAAAGGTCAGCCTCCGTTTCAAAGGCAGGAAAAGTTCGGTGAATAGTTTGATCCTGCTGGATGATTTTTGGAAATTGGTTTGTTGCGCGCCCCTCAGCTAGGTTCCTTTTATGTGCACCTATCGGTACTTCATTTCCAAATATGCATGCCGGCAGACACGGGTTTTACAGACAGTACAGGCTGTACACTCGTACCGTACCGTGCGGTACAAGCAGGCACACATAGTAATTTCCTGTCCTGCTTGATAACGATGACAACGCCCATGGTGACGGCCACGCCCACGCCCATGACCACGACCACGACCACGCCAAAGTCCATGTGGACGATGATTTGCTGCAGCAGCAATTTATCAAGCATATAATTCAGACCATGGGCCCGATGCGGAGGGTGAGGGCGTTGCTGTTGGTGTTGGCCAGCAGTGAGTGGCAATTAAAGCAAACAACAACAAGCGTAGGAGCATAAATAATCCCACAGACACACTCAGCACGCACCCGTACTGGGCCGTACATGCCTAGTTCCGTGCTACGGGAGAGCGAAGCAGCCGCACTTTGGGTCTGTTGCACGAGCGGAGCTGCCTTGGCTTTGCCCCAGCCTGTTCTGCTGCTGTGGATTTTCTGCAGCACTACTGCGAATCTGTCACTCTGTCCGGCAACCCAAACGAAACCAAACGAATCCAAACGAAACGAAACGAAAAGAAGCCCATTGTCAGCATTTTGGCCCAAGGACCGGGCAGCCGAGCTGACGAAACAGGCGAAGGCAGTGGCTGAGGCGGAGGCGGAGGCGGATGCGGGACTGGACGGGACTCGGTGCGTATGAGCAATTTTATAAAATACCAGTACACGCTAACAGACGTCCAGACAAGGGAAGGTGGCGACGACCCAAAAACACACCCAGCAGTGGAAATTGTGTCGGAAATTTGGGCCAATGCCTTTGTGAACTTCGTTAGCAGGCGGAAAATAAAAGAATCTGCAAAATTAAGAGACAGAGACAATGACAATGACAACGGCCTCGCTCCGAGGCTGGATGATGCTGGCCGAAGGGATAGTGGGCACACGGACTGGTGGCCCCCCAAAACTCAAAAGTTTCACTCAGCTACTCATCAGCTGCTCACGTTTTCCCCAAATTTCCCATAAAGTTATCCGTGCTGGCACAACTGGCACAATTATGCTTTATACACGAAGCGAGTCGGAAGACAATTAGAAGATTTCAATTGGGAGCGCCAACTGCTATGGTCGTAGTTACTCTAGGGATAGCATAGCTGCTGACGATCTCCTAGAGGATATCTAAGTTCGGAGGAATCCTGGCATGTCCCCAATTGCAAGTATGTATTGTTTTCGACCATTCGTGAGCCCTGATTGTTTCAGACTTTTGTAGTAAATGCTGCAGAATTTCATAATAATAATTGTTATTACATTATTTTTCTTATTTGTTAACTGGAACGAGGCTGGTCGGTGGCTGACGCTGCTGCAGCTCCATGTGCGTTGACAAATAATTTGTTTCCGGCTTCGGGTTCGGCTGCACAAAATGCCACACATCCTGTTCTGGCTGGTTGGATCAGATTGTGGGGCAGCCGTTCCCAGCTCGACTCGGCGGAGTTGAATTATTTGGAGAGCACAAATGCGGCCAGAGACTTAAATTTCCTGCAATTAATTTACGAGTATAGCCCGAGTATGTATGTACAGTGCACATACGTTTACGTATGTGCCCAGCATTCAGAGTTGCAAAAGTGAGTGAGCAGGCCAATAACCTCCCTCTCCGTGTTCAATCGCCTCCTGCTTGCAGAGTTCAAGAAAGAGCCAAAAAGAATGGAGCACTCAGACATATGTACATACTCGTATGTACATACGTACATACATAGGTATGGTATGTCATGGATTGGAGAACGAAATGGGAAATACACACACACAACAGAGTCTGTGGCCCGAGCTTCTGCCCATATGTCTAGAGTTTCGGGAATGGAAGGCACATAAAACTTTTTGCTCCACGGTTGAATGAAGCAAAATTCAACAAATCATTTACGGCCGATGTCCGGACTGGGGCCCAGCCCCACTCGAGGAAATCGCCTCTTTAAAGTGCTTAGGCAAACTGTGCAGAAGTCAAACGTAGAGGCGCTCGATCCAGATGTCCGGCTGTTCACATGGTATATCGGTGTGGCAAGTGTCTGCCATGGGTGGGCTGAGCTGCTGGAGAGTACTGGTGCTGGTGCTGGTCCTTGTGCTGAAGCTGGTCCTTCTGCTGCTGTAATCCTGTTTGGGGGAGAGGAGGGAGGCGGAGACTTTGGCAGAGCCTTCGCAGTGGCAGCTCATTACGTGTGCGAAAACTTTGATGGCTCCCATTCAGGTCCATTGTGCTTGTATCCACATTTAATCTCAATCGAGTCCCGTCCCTGAATTGAGATCGAACAGTGGTTCAACATGATTGAGCAACCCACTCCACACACTCTCAGTGCTAGCACTTGCTAACACTCTTTAAACTCTTCACAGCGGAATAAGGGCATTAAATTCGCAATACCCGTGAGTTTAACTGGTATAATGGTTGACCTGGTGGCTCGGCCGGGACCTTAAAATCAACCAGACTAGCGACGACAACTACGCAAAGGTTTTTTAAAGCTCTGGCTTCCTTGGAAACAATACTGATCCATCACCAAATGTTGACCAAAGCAACGGCAGTCAGGAGCTCTGTGCTCGTGAAGGACGTGAAAAAACACGTTCTTAATGAAAGGTTAACTTTGGGTCTGTGTCTGCAGAGGCTCGGTAATCGAATAGAAATGGGAGCCAAGGACTCAACTACCTATAGTAACGAAAATTATTTATCAATGTGTTCGATACTGTTCTTAATTACCAGACATTTCGGAACAATGTTTGCAATGTTTTAGTTTCCTTTA